ATTCTTTCTACTCGCATGCAGCAGTAATGATGGTTTTGTTGAAAGGGACAAAAAAAACATACATGTTATTTCTGCAACCTGTAATTATTAGCTTCAGATTTGATTAATTAAAAGAGTGTTTAAATAAAAAGTTATTTCTATAAAACAATGCAATAAAAACTATAGATTTGTTAATTTTAAAAACTTGAAAAATATTAAAGATTTCAAGACAATTATGTTGATGTTCGAACTTGTCTTTTGTACTAGCCTTTGTAATATTATCTAATCTAACCTTCCTTTCTTTTGAAAGAATGGAATTCCTAATACCTAACCTAAGTTCATCTAACAGAACCTAATTCAATCCTAACTAACTTCGATTAACCTGTTTATATATATATATATATATATAATCATACCTAACATAACTTAATCTAATAAAAATGAACTTAATTTACTTGATTCATCTTTCGCACATAACTAAACGTTAACTAATATAATCTTAACCTAACCTTTTTCCATGGAAGAGAAGAAATTTTAAAACATAACCTAACTTAAATTAACCTGACTATAATCCTACCAAACTTAACCTAATTATCTAAGTAATTAACATCTTATATATAACAAAATTTCAGCTATAATCATACGTAACTTAATTTAATCTAACAAAAAATAACTTAATTTAATCCTAATTAACTTAATCCTACATAACTAAATCTAACCTCACAATTTGAATAAACTTTTATTTACAACTAATATAACCTCAAATAAGTGATACTTCATTATAAACAAACGTTATAGAGACAAGGATTTATTTAGTGGTAGTATTAGAAATTTTTACATTTATTTACATTGATGTATAGTCAAAAAATAAACTTTAATACCAATGATCAAAGAATGTTGTTTGTTTGTTATTATTGTTGTTGTTGTAAATTCGCTTCAAGGTGAAATTTCGAAATCGCAGAAATCCACGTCGCGCATAAATTGCGTGATCAATTCTTCTTGCAGCGATTAACAACTTTAGTTTCTTCGCTTTCCATTTATCTTTCCTTTCCTCTTTCGATGATGAGGTAGAGGAGTAGAACGATGAAGAAGACTTCTAGAGAATAATGGTTGTGCGAAACTGGATCGTCATGGGCGGCGGTGCAAAATATACGAATGGGACCCCATCTAGTTGTAAAAGGTATTCCGGAAGTGCTTTTCCTGGTCTCGCGGGACGTTCGATGCGTTTTGCTCCGCCTGCATCCGCGATAGTTGGCGGAAGTCTGAATTATATTCTTTGAAAAGAAATTTATACGATTCGTTCCCACTCTCAAAGCAATCTCTTCCAATTTGACAAAAACGTATTTGATAAAACGTAATTTAATAATATGACGTCTGTCATATTTTTGGTTTGCACTTAAACAATAATTTTATTTTATAATTAATAATTTTTAAAGTTTATTTTTTGAAATTCTATTATAATTTAATTAAAAACTAATAAAATACAAAAAAAAAATATAATAAAATTATACAAAATAAACTAAAAATAAATAAATAAATTATACAATTATATATAAATATAATTCTTCTAATCTTTTCATGGTTTAGCTTATTGTTAATGTTTTTTTTTATTTATTGATTTAATTAATTAATTTCAAGTTACGTCGAATTATTGATTGATTATCTTTTTGATGGAAACAAAACGTTGTCGAGACATCAAATATTACATGATTGAATTTGGTGATCCACAGTGCTCAAATGTCTGAAACAGACGTAACATCAATAGATAAACAAAACAAAATCGTGACATTCCTCTTATGACATTTTATTTAGTAATAAATTAAATAAATTGGAATTTGGATTGAATCTTCACTCTGAGCTTAGTATCTTATTGCTTGTGGTTTGTTACTATAACAGGGTGGGGTTAGAGGTTAAAAAATAATTTATGAAACAAATGGATGATCTAAAATTGAGATTTTTCGAATGAGAAATGAGCTTCAGCATGCACAATGTCATTTCTTTTATGACATATATCAAAATAATAAATAAAAAAACGTAATTGTGTAAACATGTCAGAATAAAAATAATTAACTATAGGTTTTAATGCCCTTGAAAACTTATTACATAAGAATTTACCAAATGAAAATTGACGTCATCAAAACAACCAGGAAATGACGAACAATTCAGATAGTGACATTTCTTTTATGACATATGTCAAAATGGAAATTAGTAATGAATATTCGGCAATAACAGACACTAGGTCTTCTTTTTATGCGGTTTTGAAGTTATGCGGTTTTTATTTCAAGAAGCATTTTTTTAAATAACTATTTTAGGCCATTTTGACACGTTTTGACACAAATTGGCAAACCATTTCAACGAAAAAGATGATAATTCTGAACGAGCATTCAAGTTTCAACGCGATTGTATAAAAAAAATAGCAAAACCATCGCAAAGTTTAATCACTGTATATATTGTCAAAGGGAAAAAATCAAGTTGAGACTAATTTTACTTGTGAGATTATATTGTCAAAGGGAAAAAATCAAGTTGAGACTAATTTTACTTGTGAAGAATCATTATCTTCAGGACATAGATCTGATATGCTGACTATCTCTTCTAGTGATGAAAGTGATTTCGAACCAGTTCGCAAATTATCCGAACACTCTCATATAACTCATATCAGGATTTCGAACATTATTCAGTTCGCAAATTATGCCGAACACTCTCATATAGCGACGATAATTCTAAAGAAAAAAATGTAAAGGAAGATTAACTTTCATAAAAAATCTCTGTATTTTTTTTTTGTAAAATTTTTAAGTAAAAATTTAGAAGGAATATGTTAAGATTATATTTTTCTGAAATTTAATAAACTTGTCTATGATTGTTAACGTTTTTATAAAATTANNTTTTCTGAAATTTAATAAACCCTTTTTTATGCGATGTTCGGTATATTGTAACTCATTGATTTAGTTTTATGCGGTTTTAAAAAATTATGGAATTTATTTTTATACGTGTGTCTAGTCCTTTTTTGTGCGATTTATTTTTATGCGTTTACCTGTGGAACGTATCTACCGCATAAAAAGAGAACCAAGTGTACATAAGTTTTAAAGTCTATTATCCGTTGGTGAATGACAGTATTTTTCAACTTTGACAGCTTGTTCAAGAAAACCTATAATGCAACATATATGACCTTAGACACGTTTTAAAGCTTATACAATTCTCCTTTATACTGCTAATTCATTTATGTGCTAATTGTGGTTTTAGAAAACTACCATATAAAGAAAAGTCATTGCTTTTTCGAGGCTTTGTATATTTTTTTCAACTGTAATACCTTGTTTTAAATAAACCACGAATGGTATACATTTTAATCTATCAAAATTTTGAAGCATGCAGATTTATATTTAATTTTGTTACTAATTGATGTACGTGCTTTATGTGGATTTGGATACAAAACAAGAAAATGTTAAAACATATTTTTTTTGTTAATTTTACAGGAAAACTACAAATGCTGAAAATAAGACTCTAATCATATTTTAAGGTGTAATTATTTTTATTTTATACGTTTACTAATTAATATATATGGTGGAGTTCGAGAAACGCGAGGACATGTCAAAACACTGTTATTTCTAACCTAAATAATTCGTTGTAAGTTCTAGAAACACCGTACATTAAGACAAACTTTTGCAATTTTGTTTAGCACCGTAATATATGACATGAAACATTCTTTTATGACAATTTGAATTTGTCTCATATTTTGACGTTTGAAATTTAATAATAAAATACAAATAAATTACAAATTAGTAACGTTTTTACTAATTTTAATGAAAAACTGATAAATAAACTATATTAGTGTTAGTATTATTACAAATTTCAGATTTTTTTTTATTACAATCTAATCACTTTAACTAAATTTAATAGTAATGTTATTGGCTATCTCAATTGTATCTATCTTTATTACATTTATTCGTTAATGTTCTATCTAGATCTAGAACAAGGGTTTTTTTTTTGGAACAAAGAACCATTTTTAAGATATTACTACTGAAACAAATTTCGCTACATAGATATAGCGTTGAAAACAAGGATCAATTTATAATCGAGCCGCATGCGGCTCCTTAGCCACGCTATTGTACATTTTAAGTCTATATGTTCATTTTTTTCTTTTGTAGCAAGTGTTTGCGTGCGATTGTATTTTCCTTTTAATATTTTGTACTGAAGTTTTTAATCTGTTTCTATTTGCAAAACATAGTATTAGGAGCACATGAGAGTGCTTTGAATAATTGTACGTAATGTTTTTGATTGGAATCGCTGGAGTATTTCAATGTTAGAGTTGATTACATGATGGATTTGTAAATTCAGTTCAAGCAGATATTTTACATTAACCTTCTGTGTTTGTTGTTTAAAGAACTAGGGAAATGTTTCCTTACTCATCGTACAGAAGACCTGAACCGATTTTGTTTTGTTTTAATGCGTCATTCTCAGAGTTAGTCTTCAGTTAGATTGTTAATGGCTTTTTTTGATGAGAAAATGAATTCAAATAATTGGCATGTAAATTGTAGATGTACGACAAGAAATACTTGCTTTGGTATATTGGGGTGCTCGTTTAAAAGAGACGGGGCAAGTGAATTATGCCACTCGCCGAAGATTTTTAGTCTGGAATAGAGGTGTTATTATCTGCGAAGGAGTGATTAATATTTGGCGTTTCGCAATAACAATGGAAGAGTGCATGTGGAAGAGTGAGGAGCAAGAGGCCGAAGAAGTCGCGCGCTTCGTTTTGCAATTTGCATAGTTGGAGGATGATGCATGGAGAAGGCAATGGTGCATTTACCTACACACACACACACTCTTCTGCAAATGTATTATGTCTGTGTACGTACGTGTTTATGTACTTGGAATACATGCACACATACGTTCGTACGAATAGAGGCACACGGATGGAATGGATGAAATGCACACACATGGATACAGGCAGTTTGTGGAGGACGGGAGAGGCCGACGTCGAGGAGTGCACGGGCCAATGCACATGGGCTCCCTATATAAGCTGGAGGAGCAGCGGCTGCGACTTCAGTCAGCTGACGCACCTCACCAACGCCAGACCTCGCCAAGAGATACTACACACCCTAACACGCAACTCCAAAATCCCCCCACACACACACGACCATTCCAAACATTCATTCAAACAGTACCGAACAAGACGTAACCGTGCGAAGTTCCTCCAGAGTGTGATACCTTCTTAATTTGTACTTCGAAACGCCTGAAAGAGAGGAATCAGCAGATATGGCCACCTACGCCGCCTACAGACACATCGAACTCGACAAAGTCGGCTACAGCAAGAAGCGGTAAGTACCCCGAATTTACTCGGATCAATAATACCTTCCACCATTTCGCACGCCACCATCCCCAATCTCACTCGCTCTCGCTCTTCCTCAAATATCCATGGAATCAAATCCAATTTACATATTTTCAAAACTTTCCAACAACCAAAATATATTTTATCTTTTACAAACAAACAAAATAATTATATAATAAAAAACAAACATTATTTAAAACTTTTTATCAAAACTTGAAAAAAACTATCCCTAAATTAAAATAATATATACAAAATGTTAAATTCATCGACAATCTATGAATTTGAGCAATTAATAATAGAAAAACATATTTTTTTTAAATTCTTTAAAACTATCTCAAAAATTAATACAATAATTTGCATTTTTTCAATGATGATTACAACAATATACAAAGTACTGTGTGACATTCCACATAACTTTTAAGAAAATTGTTGTTTTTTAATAATAAATATGGAAACTAGATAACAAAAAATAATACAACAAACATTATTTTTTTTAAATCTCCAAAAACCTTAATTCTCTTGTAATTATTATAATGAATCGATTTTTATAAGAAAATAATGTATTTACATTTTTCATAATTTATATAAATTTATAAACAAATTGACAAATATTAACATGATAATAAAAATAAATCTTTAAATCCCTTCCAAAACGTGAATTACAATATAAAAACAATTTAAAATACGATAAATAATAGCACACAATATTAACAAATTAGAATGAAATCTAAAAGATCGTATTTAATATAATAAGTTTTTTTTTGTTATTGCTATAATATTTATTTAATTGTATAATAAACTTCTGTTTTAGTCAGAAAACTTGAATAAATAAAAACCTTTATTACACAAAACATTTAGAACATCTAAAACATATATAATTTATTAAATTGGATTAAAAAAATGTAACATTAAACCAAAAAATATGTAATTAATTAAAAATACGAAAAGGAATGTATAAAAACCTGTCTATACTTTCTGCATTATATAGAAACAAAAAATGTAAGGAAACTATAGCTATTAAATTATATTTATTATGCTTAAACTCAACAAAATACATAAATCATGGGAACGGGTACAAAGAGAACACATCATGTTTAAATGTACCATTCAAATGTCATATTCTATGTATGTAGACTAAAACGCCTAGTCCATTTTTCTGTCAACAAATAAATGTGCTGATTTCTATAAATGTAACTATTATTCCTGCAAATTCACTTTACAATAGACAATGCATATTTAAATATGTACACTTGTACACTTTTGCTTTAAATAAATCAAATATAGAATTATATAATGAGACTTCTATCACTAATTAACGTAATTGCAAAGTACGAAAGATTCTTTCAATGAAAATGTATGTGCTTTGGATGCAATCCACAATTTATAAAAAGATGTTGAAAGTCGACTTTTACGTGCGGAATTTCTGGAAATAGCCGCAAAAAATAAATAAATAAATATAAATAAGCAGGAAACGGAAATTCGCTTCGAAAACCGCACGACTCGTTTACAATTATGAGCACATTTCCATAGCGAAAATAAAATGTAACAATTCCTCCACACAAAAACTGGATCATATCTATACGAATGCAAAATTACCACTACTATATAGTGATCGATAATAAAAATGTTTTCCATCTAAATTGAACAATTAAGACACCTGTATAGGATTGAAGCAAAATATAACTGGACGCAACAATGAATCGAACTTTCAAAAAATCTAATTAATTTGGGATCGGATCGAGGTGAAGGTAGATGAACGCAAGTCGCGGTTTGTTAATTAAAACACACCCAATTAATACTAATTAAAGCTCACAAATTGAAATGTAAATTTTCAAACGTTACACTCTCTTTCTTTTATGCTCCGTTCTCTCAATCCTTCTTTCTCTCTGTTTCTTCTAAACAAGAAATATATACGTCATTACGAAGTGTGTTATGCGTTACACACTAGTTTTTTTTTTGTGAATCGTAGTATGTAATTTTCTTTTATTTCTTGTTAGAAGTGTATTCACCTGTTCCTCATGAAACGTATGCGTCGGTAAATAACTAGAAATAACAAGGAACATCTGTTGTTTAGTTGTTACGCAAATTGCCAAATGTTTATGAATAAACAACACCAGTTGAACTTGTCCAAAAATTAATATCCACCTTTCATTTATAACCTAGGTTTAATTCATATTCTAATTTACACAAATTACCATACTATGATCTTAAACTTGAAGTAATCTTTCAAAATAAGTTAGTTTTATCCTGAAAGAATAAGTTTTGAAAATATTAGAATTATTCTTTTGACATTTATATTGACATGATGATAATGTCAAAATATGAATTCCTCAAATTGTCAATGGCTGTCAAACTGATAGTGATGTTTCTATAGGACACACAGTATAAAACTGTGTTAATTGTAGCAGAAAATTGTTTTGATTTAGTTTTATGTCAGAATGAATTGGAATTGCTTTATTTGATGAATCTATTGAAATTGTTGGTCCTCCATTGTTACTAACCTATATCCGGTTTGGGAGGATTTAAGTGGAGTAACTTTAGGGCAAGGTGTGCACCGTGTGTCCCTTTCTGAACGCGCGACACGAGAGAATGCACAACGTACACACCGCGCGTTTATTGCAGCAGGAAACAGTAGGAAGTGCACACACAAGCCCTATTCCTGTTACGTTGCTCACGCACGCAGATATCCGCCGGAACTTGGCCCCAATTTTATCGAGCACAGGAAGAGCGATTGTGGACGCAAAGAATCGTAACTACGATTCAAATTTAAACATTTACTATCATCAATGATAGTAGCAGCTTGTTGACAATGTCCCAATCATTAAATTATCTCATTTAGTATGTACAAAAAGTTGTAGGAATTTGCTATGCATAAGTAAAACAAACTCAATAATTATGGTGAAATAAACATCAACAAAAAAAAAACACCACTTTCTCAATTATTAATTATAACTGGATATTTGAATCGCTCAATTAAACTATTTACAACTTTAAGACTACCCAGTTTCATTCGATAATTAGTTAATAGGTTTGGCCGTATTTGCTGCATCCGTGAATTCTCTTTTATTTCTAAGGAATTATGCAAGCAGGTTTTCTTCATCTTGCATTGTTGTATAAATCACGGAGGACGACACCTCAAGGTAGAATAAAGGATGATGAGTAAGTAAATGGATGGGCTTTAATTGCGATGCCGACGGAGAGGAAGGCTTGAAGTTTGCAATTGATTGAAATTGTGAGAAAGACAGGTGTCCTAATTAATTGCCGTGTGCTTGAAAGACAGAAAAGTTCGCTTCCGGGTATGCCGGAAATCTGATACCGAGTTCCATACAGCATCTCATCTAAACGAATTAAAACGAGGAATAAATGTGTGTCTTTCAAATCTTATTCCGAGAGTTTTTCATAATTAATAAGAAATCTGTTTTTGTTTCTTTACACACGATTATACACGATATTTTTATGACAGTAAGTAACAAGAAATAATAAGAAACATCTGTTGTTTGGTTGCTATGCAATGCTTCGCATACCTGAACTGAACTTGTCAAAAAGTGGATTTCAACCTTTCGTTGTTCCACCAACCTTGATTTACTTTAACAGAATTCATATTTACAACTTAAATCACAATAACTTAATTATTACAAAACTCATTTTTTATATTCTTACAAATTATGAATGCTTTCAAAATTCTCATAAATTATCCTGTGACAACAAAATTTGTATATTTTATTTATAAAATTTGTCATAAAAATTCATTGATTTTGTTTAAGTTATATAATTGTTGAAATAACCTGGTAATATCACAAATTTTAATATTTTATTTTTAAAATTTGTGGGTTTTTTCAAAATTGTCCTGTCAAAATGACATAACTGTTTATTAACTGTCTTCTTTTTAAATTCGTGTTAATAGGGCAAATATTATAAAGACAGGTGTTCTAATTAAAAACTAGTGCTTTAAATCATATTTTTATGAGAATGCGTTTCCGGAAATTTAATACTAATTAAAACCAAACATCTGTAATTCAATCGAATCCAAGTCGTGGGGGTGTGTGTGCACACGCGTTGAAAGTGATTAATGAGATTTTTTTATCATTCTCTAAAGTGCATTACGTAACGACCGTAAAGCCTAAATTCTAAGCGGGAGGGCCGCAATCCACCCTCGACCACGGACTTTGGGGTTTATGACCTCATCCTCGTCGTCTGAGCGAGCGCCTCACGCGATCTGCTCCTAAACTATATAACTACACAAACTATCCGACTATACCACCAACCCTGCTCCATCGGCGAACCTCGCCCTACGTTCAGAAAATCCATACTTGCTCGTAAGCATTTACATTCGTTCCTGTCATGTCTTCTCTCGTCCAGAGAAGGTGAACAACTCATTCTTCACGCCAATACCCACATTTCTGTTCTGACCTGTCACAGGTGACACCTGTCATTTATAACATCTCCACTTTTATTCAACATACTATTGTGAGTTAAAAATAATCTCTGTCTATCGATTCATTGTGTGCTTAAACTATTAATAAAGTAAAGTTTTTATATTTAGACAACTCTCATTGACTATCCATTACTACATTTCTAGGCCATGAACTTTCATTTCAATTTTGGCAGATTGTCAAATCGTGATATCAAAAATGCTTGAAATTTAAAAATAAATTTTATGTGGGTCAATATTTGCAGGTAAAGTTAATTTATATTACCAGCTACACGTAATTTTTCAAATTTATTTATATAATTAGAATAATTAGATTAAATAATATTGGAACGATCTGGAAATTATAATAATTATTGAGAATTCCTCATGGAATTTATATTAATAAATTTAACTTTATAAATTGATATTTAGTTAATTGAATTTTTATTTTCAAATATATGAATAATGGATTTTTTTTGTATGATCTCACATAATTTGCTGAATATTAATGTGCATTTTTAATTCTACGTTAATTATAATAATTAATATCAATACCTTGCAAGATTTTAAGTGATTGG